ATTCGGATTTCCGATACAGACTTGTGACGAATTGCGCCGGATGCGACCCTGGTAGTCATCCGCTCTGGGCGTGGGTACTGCTGCTCCGCAGGCTGCCTCCGACTCTCAACTGCCTTCGTCGCATGCTTTACATCCGGTGCTGTCTGAGGTCCAGAAGAGGAAGACGGTCTGCTGTTGGTGACTGACTCTGTTGGCTCCCGCTTTAGCTGTGATTCCTTGAGGTCTGCTGGAGCTTCAGCCATGTGTTGGTCTCCATCCTTATCATGGCTAGTGACAGGCTGTTTAGGCGTGGTAGAGTTTCGAATGGACATGGCAGCTTCGAGCTGTAACTGTTCATCAGGGGTGGAGGGTACGACGGCCGACATAGGCTGTGACTGGGCGTTTGACGCAGGCTCGTCGGTGGAGATTTTGCCTACTGACGGGGATTCAGCAATCGAGGCAACTGATTCGGTCGAGCTCGATGCAGGGGACCGTTCGGTGGCAGATGTATGGCTGGAGGATGGCCCCGTAGACATGGGTGAAGAAGCGGCCTCGGCGACCTTTGGAGGAACGATGATAGGGGCGACGCCGAGGCGGTCGTTAAAGGACGATGTACGGTTGGTTTCTGCAGGAGATAGAGGGTGAGCGGTAGTCTGAGTGGTAGCCTGGGCAGTCGTCTTAGGTGAGGTGGGTTTGGCGGCAGCTTCGGAGGCATGCTGAGCGTGGCTTGTGTCTACGCCATTAGGTTGGCGATGAGGTAGGTGAACGGATTGCCCTGTCTCTGGCTGCTCTGTTGTCTGGACGCCTGCTGAAGACACAGTGAGCTGAGGTTGAGTGCTGTCTGCGAAGGGCCTGCCTTGGGCTGGTAGTTGGTGACTGGTTATGCCGGGAACTGGCTGGGAGGCGGGCGCCTGGGGACGGTCGAGCTCGTCTGCGCGCGGCGGTCCATGTTTGATTTCATTCTCAGCAAGCACAGTCTCGAGTCGTGGCCGCTCCGGTAGGGTATGTTCATCGTAGAGTCGGCCTCTATATGGACGTATATATTAGCACACCTAGAGCCAGCTTCAAGTCCAGTATAGCAGTGTCTCCGGCAGCGTAAAACAAGTCAAAACACGTACTTTGAGAGATCGTTGGCCTCGAGAAATGCGGCCTCCTTCTGGCGGGCCAGGGGCTCTCTGTGGCCGCCGGCGTTGCTGGGATGGGGAAAGGTCGCCGTCGCATAGTAGAGCTCGCTCAACTTGCGCTTCCGCGATGACAGACAACGCCTGGAGCAGAACAAAAGGTTAGCGAGCGAACCTGGGCAAACCGGGGGCACGGGATACGATGGAACGGTCAAAACGGGTGGTTTACATACGCGATCTCGTCATGTCTGGATCTGAGCAGCCCGTCAGAGAGCATCGAGGCTTTTCACGCGGCGGCATCCGATTCACACGCAAAAAGCGAGGGCCTGGGGCCTCTCGGGGGTCATACGAGCGCGATGAGTCGCTCTGATGAGATGGAATCGATGGCGGTGGTCGTTGTTTTGATGGCTGCAGTTGGTGGACGTCGCTTTTCCTGCGTGAAGTTCGACAAATTTGCGAGTTTTCCGCTTTTTTGCTGCTTTTCGAGATGTCGCAGTTTGCTGACTAAGCGGAGATACTTTGATCCGCGAAAAAAAGTTGAAGGCGAAAAGATAAAAAACAACGAGAAGATGAAGAAGAAAGATAATAAAAGAGAAGGAAGAAGAAGGGGGTAATAGAAGAAGAAGAAGAAGAGAAGCTAAGATGAAGAGAAAGAGAGAGAAAGAGGACGAGAAGGCGAGGGAGCGGGCAGAGAAGAGAGAGAAGACGGCACGGAGAGAGACGACGGTACAGATAGTCACAGGCTCCTATGAGAGAGTCCTCCATGGCATCAACGCCACGATATCCCTCGATGAAGAAAATACAAAAGGACGGTCAAAAGATGCCGGAGAAGGCGAAGAGAGAGTCAGGTTCACGGATACGTTTCTGTTCCAGGCCCACACATCGGCAGTTCGCTGTCTGGCGCTCTCACCAATGCCCAGCGCGGACAACAAGCAGCAGCAGAACGTCCTGCTAGCAACCGGTGGAACAGACGACCGTATCAACCTGTACAGCCTGTCGGTTTCGCCAATGGCTGCCGACGCGGGCCTTGTGCCCGTTCCCTCGCTGGCAGGCAATAAAGTGCTGGAGAACCCCCGGAATCGCGAACTGGGAGCTCTCATGCACCACTCCGCCAGCATTACAGCCATGCACTTCCCTACCCGGTCGAAGCTTTTGTCTGCGTCAGAGGACAATACGATTGCTGTGACACGGACGAGAGACTGGACTGTTGTCTCATCCATCAAGGCACCACATCCCAAGACTCAAGGCAGGCCGAGTGGGGACACTGCTCCTGTCGGTGGTGCGCCGGCCGGTATCAACGACTTTGCCGTGCATCCTAGCATGAAGCTGATGCTTACTGTGGGCAAGGGGGAGAAGAATATGAGGCTATGGAACCTGGTCACAGGCCGGAAGGCTGGTGTACTGAATTTTGGGCGGGAGGTGCTCACGGCGGCGAAGGAAGGGAAATGGGGGACCGGCGAGGGGAGGAAGATCCGCTGGGATTCGGCCGGAGAAGAGTTTGCCGTTGCTTTTGAACGGGGCATCGTTATTTTTGGAGTGGTATGCTGCGCCTATCCTTCTATTTTACCAGCCTTATTTATATTCACATACTAACTTATGGGGTAGGACTCGGTTCCAAAATGTAGAGTGGCCACCTCGCCATTCACAAAGGTACACCATATCAGCTATCTTGACATTGAAACTGATGACGAGAAGAAGCAGCTATTGGTAGCCTCTACGGAAGACGGCCGACTCGTCTTTTACTCTACGGCGTCGGACTCGTTAGAGGAGCCCGCTGAGGGAGGTGACACCACCATCCCAACAGCACCGTTCCTCTTCCAGCTCGGTGGCAAGGCTTATGGCCAGTCCAGCAGGATAAAAGAATTCGAGATCCTTCCGCTACAGGAGGACTCGAAGACCATACAGTTCATCGTCATCACCTCTGGTAGTGATGGTGCATTAAGAATATGGACCGTCAAGCCAGAAGAGCTCCAGCCAGCCAAGCAGACCAAGCAGGCTAAGCGAGGAAAGCCCTCCAAGCCAGCTCAGGCTGCCCAGGTAGGTAGACTACTGGGGGCCTACGAGACGGGCAACAGAGTAACCTGTATGAAAGCGTTTATCATGCGCGACCCCCTAGGAGATGACGAGCTCAGCGAGGGTGACTCTGACGAAGAAGAAGAAGAAGATGATGATGATGACGAAAATGAGAAAGATGAAGACTCTGACAGCTCATGAAATCCCCTAGCAGTCAAGCTTGTCCATCTACCTGCTCGCCTGCCAAACTACCAAAATGACGTGGATTCTTTAGCTATATTGATAGATCGATTCTCAGGGGCAACCCTGTCCGCCAGACGGTCCACCACCGCTAACCTGCAGCCTGCAACCTTCATAGACTAGACATCCTCAACCAAATACATCTTCCTTCTTCTCCCCTTCTCTCCCTTTTCCTCCCTTTTACTCGCCTTTACAGCTCTCAATTTCTAAATTATTTCTTTCCCCACGGAAAATCTATAAGTCACGTGCTCATCTAAAAAATTATTTTTTGTGACTCAAAAATTCACATTTAAAAGAAACAGAAAAAAAAAAGAATCACAGAAAAACGACGAGACGAAGACGAAGAAGAAACCGAAGAACGATACAAGGCAGACCTTCTGTCCATTACGATTACTATCAGGGTCAAGCCGCTCGAATCTACGCCAGCTCTCAACCGGCGAGCACCAAGGAACGTCGCCTGCTTAGTTACCCCACTGAGCGTGGTTGTCGAAAATCACCAAATAAAACCCGCCAAAACTTCAACTTTCTCTGTGTGCGAACAGACACATCCACGACCACCAGCGCCCCGTCAGCTCACAACAAGCGCATTGCAATCATGGCGACGCACAGTGACTTTTCAGACGACGAGTCGCAGCCCGGCTCGCCCGTCCTCGGCGATTCCAACGGTGTCGAGAACGCCTTTGATGACCAGGAACCCCTCGACCATGAAGATGATTCACAGACACCGCTCAAGTCGGCTCTAAAACAGCCTGCGCAGGCAAAGAAGCCAGAGCTGCCTGAGCAGCCGGACCCGTCGACCCTCGATCTCGCTACTCTTACGCCGCTAACGCCCGAGATCATTGCTCGACAGGCGACTATCAATATCGGTACCATCGGGCACGTCGCTCACGGAAAATCAACTGTCGTCAAGGCTATCTCAGGAGTGCAGACCGTCAGATTCAAGAACGAGCTCGAGAGAAATATCACCATCAAGCTAGGTTATGCCAACGCAAAGGTGTACAGATGTGACAATTCCGCCTGTCCCAGGCCTACCTGCTACCGAAGCTTCAAGAGTGACAAGGAGGTTGACCCTCCATGTGAAAGAGATGGATGCACAGGCAAATACAGACTCCTTCGACACGTTTCGTAAGTTATATCGTCTATTCATCTATATCAGGAGGACATGGCTAACGGGTGTGTGTAGGTTCGTTGATTGCCCTGGGCACGACATTCTCATGAGTACTATGCTTTCAGGTGCCGCCGTCATGGATGCAGCTTTGCTTCTCATTGCCGGTAATGAAACTTGCCCACAGCCCCAGACCTCTGAGCATCTGGCTGCCATCGAGATCATGAAACTCAACCACATCATCATCCTCCAAAACAAAGTCGACCTCATGCGTGAGGACGGCGCCCTACAGCACTACCAGTCCATATTGAAGTTCATCAGAGGAACCGTCGCTGATGGATCGCCCGTTATTCCCATCTCGGCTCAGCTCAAGTACAACATTGATGCCGTCAACGAATACCTCGTCTCTCACATTCCAGTCCCAGTCAGAGACTTCCTTGCTCCCCCACACATGATCATCATCCGATCCTTCGATGTCAACAAGCCCGGCTCTGAAATTGAAGACCTTAAGGGTGGTGTTGCTGGTGGCAGTATCCTGACTGGTGTGCTCAAGCTCGGGGACGAGATTGAAATTCGACCAGGTATCGTTACCAAGGATGAACAGGGCAAGATTCAGTGCCGCCCTATCTTTAGCCGTGTCGTGACCCTCCTTGCCGAGCAGAATGACCTCAAATTCGCCGTTCCCGGCGGACTTATCGGTGTTGGAACCAGAATCGATCCCACTCTTTGCCGTGCTGATCGTCTGCTTGGTTTCGTTTTGGGTCACCGTGGCCGTCTTCCTGCCATCTACAGTGAAATCGAAGTCAACTACTTCCTTCTTCGGCGTCTTCTTGGTGTCAAGACTGCCGATGGCAAGCAGGCAAAGGTTGCTAAACTTACCAAGAACGAAGTTCTCATGGTAAACATTGGTTCCACTGCCACCGGTGCAAAGGTCATGGGTGTCAAGGCCGATGCCGCCAAGCTGAGCTTGACTGGTCCAGCTTGCACAGAAATCGGAGAGAAGATTGCTCTTAGCCGAAGAATCGATAAACATTGGCGTCTGATCGGTTGGGCCAACATTGTCGCGTAAGTAGTCGATTTTTACATCCTCTTTGATGGAAACAACATCTAACATGCATCACAGTGGTAACACGTTGGAGCCCATCTCTAACTGAATTTGATACGATTCATTGTACGGCAATTACACTCGTGAGAGATGTGTGATTGCCACAAAGAGACTACAGATAGGAGTTGGCAGACCCAGAGGGCTATACTGGGTGGGGGCAGGCCATTTTTATATCTGCCAGTCGATCGAGACCACTGAAAGCGCCATTCTCTTTCAAATGTCATCTAAATTCACCACAATTCCCGCCCCTGACAGAACGAATGACGAATGGCCTGTCCCTCCACTCCTCAAACCCGCCTCGTCTCTACAAATATCCGGTAGGCAACCTTTTTCTTTATATGAAAAAAAAAGGCAAAAAGCAAAATCATGTTCCGAGTTCAAGTACATCATTCCGCTTGTTCTAATGGTTCCTTACCCTTTTCTACTTGCTTATGTCATTTACCTCTGTTTCACCTTCATCTTCCGCATATTCCATTATAGTCGAGCAGCTGCATACCCCTCTCATGCTTTCCGAGTCTCTTTTAGTCTCCTTTCCTTAACGCTTTCTATTTTGTCAAAATATTCGACTTCTCTTATTTTGCTGTTTCCCACCTGTTTTCTGAAGCATAGATAAAACTGTTTCTTTTCTAGGCTGGGACTCAAAAGGGGACAAAATGGAGAATAATGTGCAAATGATAGTTATGAAATAAAACTATTTTCAGACATCGGTCAAATAACTATTTGTATGAATCACTTTGTAGATTTACTTGAATCATCCTCAATACAAGACCTTCAACGGGAAGATAACTTCTATTATCTAGCAAAATGAAGGTTTTAGAAGCTTCACTATGTATACCAGATCGACGAGTTATTTCAAGGAAAGAAAAAAATTACTCTATAGCACACTATTGTACAGGTTTGTTTGCTCCTTTGGCTCGTATAGCAAGAGCGAGGCCAAATTCGCAAAGCTGGCATGAAATCAAGCCAACACCGTTTTATAAGGCCAGATTTAATCAAACCGAAGCCTTCAACACCATTCCTAATATATTGCAAGGAAGGTATGTTAAAAAATATCCATATAAGCTTCCTCTATCCCATTTACCAACTCATGTACTTCCTCTGCTTCGAACGTCTCCGTGCCAACACACCACGACCACCTCGGCTTTTCACACGGGCTAAAAATCCATGACGGCGCTTCTGGACCCTTCGGCTAGGGTTATATGTGTCTCGTTTAACGCCCAGAGAGGCAGTGGATGAGAACCCACGGGTGGTAGATGGGCTTGTGGCTAAGCAGCTTGATATCGGGTTTGGGCGTACAACGGAGGCTGAAGATGGTATCTGGGAGATAATTGAGCTTGTTCGAGGTGCTGAGAGAGTCGGCCGTGAGGCATTGAGTGCGGAGAAGGATCTTGTGGTGTTTTGTAGGGTCGAGCTGTTCATCGGATGTCAGCGAAAGAATTTGGTGCAACGGGTAGACTGCGGCAGTCTGCGAGTCACTCACCTTAAAACGTTGCTCGATGCTCTTTCAAAGAGGCATCCTGTGATCGCAAAGGGCTTAACCCGTAAAATCCGTAAACTGAACATCTTTGCTGCTTATTCGTAGATTTATTTCGTCTTTCTTCGTTGATTGAAACGAAAGTTCAAGGCAAGTTCAGATGTGCACGGACCACTTTTTTGCTCAACCAAAAAAAAAATTACTTTTAAAATCTTCAAAAATATCAAATCGAAGAAACAGAAGAAAGATTCAACTCGCAACAGTTCGACGCTTTCGCAGCTAGGTTATCTGCTAGGGACGGACTATATTAATTTTCAATTGATATCTGGCTTGAAAATGGCACACCAGGCAGGCCCATCTCCGCTGCCTGCCACCACTATACTCAAGAGCGAGCGCATATCCCAAGCAGAGGCTCATGAGTTTCTCACAGCCTATCTCGATCGCGCCGCTTCAGACCCGGGATTCCAGCCAGATTCTACACTCTCGCCACAAGGACCCATTGCCGCTGGTGTTGGGTCGTCTCCAAATCTAGTGATACACAACTTAAAGCGAGTCCAAGCTGGATTGGCGGGAGAAGTGCTCGGAAAAGATCTCATATACGCCAAGTTGGAGAATGAAGGCGGTGCTGCTGGTGGTGTCTTCGAGTTGCATTCCCATAATGCGACCGATGGTCAGAACTGGGGAGGGAAGAAACGAGATACAGCCGCAGTTACTGGTTGGCAGGATTTACAGAGCTACGAGAGGGAGCAGACGGATATCGTTGAGGCTGGTGACGGAGACGAGGAGGTTGTTGCCGTAGAGGACAACATAGAGGCCGTGGAAGATGCGCAGGAGGAGGGTAAAATCGACAAGGAAGAGCGCAAACGACGGAAGAAAGAAAGACGCAAGCAAGAGCAAAAGGCGAAAATGGCTGCAGCCCGGGAAGAAAACGAGGATGACGAAGCCGAAATCTGAATTGAACTTTTATGACTGTTCCTTTCGCCGATGGTCTATTGATAGCTGTTGATTAATCTACAACAAATCATTCCCAACTCGGTAAGTGTTCCATGCCAGAAGATGAAAAAAACCATTAAATTAACACAAGAGGAGGGAAATGGAAAAAGAAGTATAGACCAAACATCGTGCAATGGGTTCTAACTTCGCTTATAGCTCTCTGTCGGCCGCTTTGATAGGCTTGTCGCTGTCGATGGGCTCTTTTTCTCCGGTGATCTTGCCTCCCTTCCAGCCCAAGGCAGCAAGTCGCTCGGACAAGATCGGATGTGAGTAGTGGTAGCTTGCATACATCCAGTCCGCATCCATAGTGGAAAGATTTTGGATCTGGAGTTTGAGCAGCGATCTGGCCAATTCCTTGGAATAACCCAATTTCACGGCAAATGCATCTAGCAGAACGGTCAACATCAGGAATATAAAAAAACCTTAAAGAGAGAGGAGCATAAAAGGGAACTAACCAGCTTCAAACTCGAATTTTCTACTAAGGATGTTCATCAACAGTTTAATGATGGCATCAGTTGGCGCGAGAGCATCTGAGAACAGGAGGAATCCAATCATAATTGGCATCTCGTTGTGGAAGCCAAAGTCTTGATAGAGCGATTTGTTGGTAACAAAGGCAGAGAACAAGGCAAAAATATAGAACATGTGGAACTATTGAGAATGTCAGAAGCAGCTTAAGTAGCGATATGGGACCGAAAAAAATAATAAAATACCTGTCCGATTCCAAAAAGCTTCGTAGTATGGCTCAAACTCCAGTGGCCCAGTTCGTGACTCAGGACAGCAACGACCTCTTCGGTCTCGCTTTTCTCAATCAAGGTATCGTAGATGACAATGTGCTTCTTCCATGGCAGTCCGAAGAAATAGGCATTGCTGTGTGCGCTTCTCTTGCTTCCATCAATGACATTCAGTTCAGAGAGAGGGAACTTGAGCCGCTTAGCCAGGTTCTCGACGGAGGTTTTTAAGTCGCCAGGTTCAAGTGGGGAGAGCTTGTTGAACAGGGGAAGGATGGCAATGGGGTAGATAGTGATGGCAAACAGCTGGACAAAGATTCCAAACATCCAGAGGTAGTAAAAGAAGCTGTTTCCAGTGGTCTGCACAATTTTCAGGATAGCACTGATAATAGGAGTTCCGAGGACGACAGTCAACATTTGGCCTTTGAGCATGTCCATAACCCACAGCTTGACGGTTTGCTTGTTGAAGCCAAACTTCTCTTCCAGAACGAAAGTGCTATAGTATGAAGTAGGGAGGGACAGGATCGTTGTAATGATATTGAAAGCGAAGACAAACAGCAGGGTATGGGTGATCTCCCCTCTGAAGCCTTCGGGGGCATATCTCGCGAGCAGAAGACCAGTTGCTCCCCATAGCTTGGGGAGAGCATCGCCGTAGATAAATGCCAGGTTCTGAATCTGGCTGTACAGCCCGCTCACGAAGCCGAACTTTGCCTTTGCGCGTCCATATGCCTAGAACATGATGGTTAGCTGGATCAGCCTTAAAATACATGGGCAGCTAATATGGAGGCGAGCTGCCATAGCTATCCGCGCGTACCTGGCTCTTATCAAACACTTCCTGGGAGACCTCGCCCTCCAGGACTTTTGGAACCTTTGTTGCCTGCAAGAACTTGTACTGTCGGAGCGAGAGGAAGCCTTCAAGGAGATACTGGCCCAGCGAGAAGCCCACGATGATCTTCTTCCATGGGAAAAAGGGCCGGTCGAGAATGCGCGCGAGCTCCTAGATACAGATAGATCAGCCGCCTGCCCACAACCCCTTGAATCCCGGGATCCCAGACTGTGGCCAGTTAGTCACCAGCTCCGGTGACGACTTACCTGGAGGATAAACATCGTTGCGGCGCACGTCGATGTTGTTTGCAGGAGGTGCGGGTTGTCGGTCTTTTAGTCGTCGTCTTCGTCTGCCTGGAAGCTGCAAAGTGAAAGTCGGCCAGCGCCAAGACGTGCAAACTGTCCTCAAAGAAACAGAAGCACACGAGCAGGCAACGAACATTCACAGCCACAGCCAAGCAGCTTCATCAGCAGCATTGATATGGCTGAATTGGAGACTTAATAATAGAAAAATTACTGCACGAACAATATTATACAGTTATTAAGTGCATGGCGTCTTCTTTGAAGGTCGACCTGTAACCACAGAATATACCTTCCGTGCTACGATCATGAGCCATAAGACGACTTTTTTGATACCCCGACATTACACTCTCCTAGATGGCCTAGCCATTCATCGGGCCTGCCTATATCAGTTTAATGAGCTGATAGCTATAATATTATCTACCATCTGCTTAAAATGAACACCAGCAGCCGTGCTCGGGGGACTCGAGCCTGATAAGTATAACGCCCGAGAGGGAGCTCGGGAATGGGAACAAAGATGTCATGAAACCATAACTAATATTCTGCTTCCCCGTGGTGTCGATATAAAAAGAGGAGCTTGCTCGTTTGGACATGAAAACATGACCTCGACATCTACTTGCAGTCGGACGAGATCATTACATTGAACCCGTTTCTACCCCTATCAATCATGGCCCAAAGTACATCAGGACCTGTCAATGACAGTGTTGTGAATGAAGAACACCCTGAAAGCCAGGCACAATCAACAGGAGAAACTTTTTGATCTGAATCCGGTGGGTATCATCTTACTAGTTCCAGGGATGGTATCTTTCATGCTTGCACTCCAATGGGGCGGATCCATCTATGTCTAGAGTAGTGGCAGAATCATCGCTCTCTTCATTGTTGCTGAGACAACTAAAGAGCAACGATCAGCTAAATGAAGGGTCCGAGGCGGTAAGGATTCGCATAGCTTCGAGAGAGATGACTGGATAGCCCATAATTACGTCGTGTAATCCAGTTTTTAGAATCTGTTCTCTGATCACTCCATTATCCGTGCGCCACTCCATCACTGACCCTGCTACCGTATTATCAATCCTCTCTGTGGCTTTTTTCAAGTCTAAGTCTTTGTACGTTATGCCACCTGGTACCGTAGCATTTACCGCGCTCCAAAAAAGGGATTGGGTACGGTGAAATGGTATATCATAGTCATCTTCGGCGTGGATCAATGTCACTCTATACTTTTCATTATTCAACTCACTTGTGCCAATGAAATCACCAAGACGGTTGCTACTCAACCATTTGTCATGTATGAGAGTGCTAAACTGTTTGAAAAGTATGGGAAACCTGGCTACTGGTGACAGTAGGGGAATAGTACTAGCAATACTATACGTTGCTGCGAGACTTGCCGAGTTGACGAACGGCGCTACTAACATCGCCCCTGCAAATGATACCGGTGGATTTTGCAAGGCAAAATGTTGTATAACAGCTAAACTAACTGCCGTGCCAATAGATTGGCCAAAAACCATCAGGCGCGAAGGCGGGATTCTGGCAACATTCATGGCCCAGTCGACCACAGCTAGAGCGTCGACAATAAGACCACTCTCAGAGGGGGTTACATTGCTGCTTCGACCAAATCCGCGATAATCAATAGTTAGGACATGGATCTTTCCAGGTGAGCCGACGGACAAGGCGCGGTAGTTGGCTGGCCTATACCCAGAAGCAACGGTGCCGGCAGCTCCATGAAAGTGTAATATCAAGCGAGCTTCAGGATCATCGCGTAGTAGTTTAAAAGCAACACGAGAGTCAAAATCCGATACAAACCCTGACGGCTCGGCCAAGAGGGCCTGTTCGTGCTTTCGGTATAACTCTAAGGGGAGGACGTGCCAGGCATAAAGTGAGTGACCGTCTGGAGTTGTGATGGGGAACGGAGTAATCTGATTATGAAGGAAACCCCAGAGCTCTGGGGTATTGAGGTCCTTAAACCAGGTCATCTGAATCTTATGTAGGTAGATAATATGTGTCTGGAGGAAAGGGGTTGCGATAAGCGCCAGGAAGACAGCGTAGAAGGCGACGCATGAGGCGGCAGAGATGGAGCCGTATTTTAGGATATTCCTGGCCACATTTCCGGCAATCATTGCGAACAGTTGGTGGGTCGGCGCTTGTAGTGTATTAGAAGGAAGAGATAGCTTGATGGAATGAAACCGCTAGTTATGGCTGCAGATTTCGATAAAAGCTGCGCGCCGTTGTCTTTACTACCTTTGGTCATCAGTTGGTTGGTTGCTCCCGCGCGGATCGGCCCTTGAGCGCCGGGACGCTAGGACGCCATCGTCACACCCTTGTGGGCGCTGAGCCGCAGCTCTTAAAACGGAGATTCCATAAAAGCTTGTGACATTAGGGATGAAAGTAGTGCACACGGTACCGTGGAACTAGCAGCACTTATCAGGACTATTTGGTTTGTCGCCCGGGCAATTGTGCGAGCGGCCCATAACCTTCCTTTGGCCCAGATGGAGTCCATGAGACTTAGCTATAACTATCCCGCTATTGACTGTCACGTAACTATCCCTTTTGGTGGAGGAAACCGAGCGATGCTGCGGTAGCACACTGGGATCCTGAGTTTTATGGCTCCAAGATCTGGCAATTGGCATGTCTTCTTGGACCCTCATTTGTTGCATTAACATCTCACACCATGCGATAGAACTCCCTCTTCAACAGTGGAGCTGTTGTTGTGGCGGGCGTGCATCTGGACTGGCATCAATCGCATCTCTTCTGATATTGGTATATTTTCTCGGCTAGATTGCGATGCTAGGTGGAGTGTTTGCAGCGCTCAGGGTGTCTAACCCAGGGATCTATGGTACCTATGCATTATCAAATTACTAGGTCCATCTTATGTAGGTATATCTCTAGTTTCAATTGGGCGGGACTATGGACTACCCTGTTGTAACATGGTGTATCATTCAGGTTTTTGAAGGAATACTCCGTGTGTATACACACACACGCTATTTGTGCGCGTCGGCTTATCTTACTTGTAAGCACAAGGCTGACATGACAACTAAGTTAGTTACATGCATGAGATAACTATATAAGACGGTATAACAGGTGAGTGATTTTGTACCAACCAAATGCTAAGTTATCAGCGAGTGTCCATTTCATCCTAACGGCCCTCCGCAGCTGCCAGGCTTCGAGCAGATAACTAGTTATAGCTAGCGAACAACTTAACTAGCTAGTTACTCCGTCATTTTTCTGTCCAATATTACGTCCTAGGGAATATCTCTATCGCCATCACTGTTCGTCTATCCTGTCCTTGGTATAGAAGGTTAGTATCGGCGCATTCAGCCTTCAATAACTCACCGATTCGTCCGTATAGTTAAGTCGGATACATTCAATTAATCATTTCATCCTTCAGTTATTTATAACTAGCCACTCGACGTCCCTGAACCACAGTCTGGGCTCCGTTGCGTCTTCCCTTGCAGCCTTCGCACCGACTACCAGGTTGATACCCTCCATACCGCTAATCTATATCCATGTCATTAATACCTTGGGGGTATTTTAGTAGACTTTACTCCGTACAAGTAAAAATGGATTTGAGGGCATGTGGCCGCTATCGTCCGCCATATAGCAGGTATATACTCTGCACCCGGTAACTTTCTTGCGAACTAATTAGTCCGGAATTCCTCCATTGTAATCATAAAGTTATCATTTTGTTCGTGAGTGTTCCGCTTATACCAATATTGATCTTAGCGGGGGTGAGGTTGGTACTCCGTACTCTGTACCAATTTACGTGGTGTTACCTCGTCAAGCAGATGCATGAAGGCTTTCAGGGGTGAGAACAGTCCAGCTAGGGCCTGGCAACTGGGCGCAGCCCCTTGTTAATGATACAACTCGGCACCCAGCGGGGACCTGGATTATGAGGCACGCGGCTCTTTATAACTAAATAACTAGTTAAATGCGGCGCTCACACCCAAGAAGGAGTTAAAAATTTCTTGGGACTCGCTCCGACCGAAAAGCTTGACGAAGATGACTTCGAGGTCTGATTTCCAGTCCCTACGATCCTCATGCGAGCGTTGCCGTTTTCAAAAACTCAAATGCACCCCTTTGCACAAAGAACAAGCGAACAAGACGCCGCAGTGCGAAAGATGTGCTCGTGCAAAAGTTGAATGCGTATTCAGCCGGAGAGCACAGGGGAGACGGCACTCTCAGAACCCCCCATCTAGAGTCTCTCAAACTAAATGGAAGTCGGGAGACTTTTATGTTGACACTCTTACACATTTGCCTCCAGCGAGTGATACAAGCTTCCTCTCGCCAGATTCTCCGCAAATTAGCCCAGCCTTGACATACAGTAGCTCCGACAGCCATTTTAAACTCCCTGTGGACGAGAGTAGCATAGTGGATGCGAATGGCGGATGGCCAAGCTTTAATGGTGTGGATTTTATGGCTTCCTCGACAGGCCCCGACTGGCTGGTTGAAGCGTATGAGCCAAGAGGCGGTCCGCTCCCGAACCTTGAATTGGAAGATCAACTTGATATGACAGCAAGTAAAGTTCCAGGAGTCATCGTACGCCTCTCGGCGCTCGTCATCGATATCAACGACACTGTCGAGACTCTTCAAGGAGGACAGTGGGCTTCTTTGGAAGATATCAGTCGCCTTGAAGAGTATCCCATAGGCAGCGTCCTGCAGTTATCCCAGCAGCTCACATTAATTCTCGAAGATACGGCACATGCACCACCTGCTGAAGTGCCGAAGCGGTCAGCAGAGAAGCCAATTTCCGAAAGTGAAAACCAAATAGTATCGGAGTCAGAGAATAATATGCCTACCCAGCTCCTGATTTTGTCTTGCTATAGTGCCCTGACAAACCTCTATACGATTGTCTTAACACATTTTGAGGCACACATCCGCACACTACCAGAGAACACACGGCTGCCGCTTACGGCTCCAATTCAGAGCCGAGAGCTTCGACTAGGCGAACTGCCCTCCACGGACGATACGTGGAGCAAGATATGTACAGCTGTTCGACTACTTCTAGCTACCTTGCAGTATATAGAGCATAGTCTCGGCATTCCAAACTCCCAGCGCGTTGTGAAGGATATTTTCCTAATAGATGGCAGCCCAGACCTACACAGAGGAGTTATAGGCGATATTACCGCGGCTATTCCCACCAAAGTTCTTGTTGAAAAGGTTCAGTCCCTGAAGGTACTCTTGCGGGAGAGGATCAATCTTTAAATTGAATGCCATAGTGGGTGTGCCAAGTGAATATGCCAAGCGAATCTTGAAGGATTGGGCTTATAAAATAATGGTATCTTTTCTTGAAAGAGGGAGGGGTCACTCCCTGCGCCGAACTAGCTGCGGTAGCAAGGGTTAACTCGTCCTCACGCTCCTTTTAACGACAGTGCAGTGGAGGTTCAACTTAGCAATTAGTTTTCCTATATACTGAGACGTCTATAGAATGAGTGAGGATATAAAGTATCGCTTAAGAATTCCGGGTTTCTAAGAATTAGCTATTGAAAAGTCCTCGTTCCAAGGCCATTGTAGTGAGCCTATTGTGCTTTCTGCTGTGAGTGAACTAGTTAACCGAAAGTCATAGACTATTAAGATTCGTCTGTTGAGCATACCAGTGATCTCCTGCTGGTCTGCATTTGTGGGAAACGTAGGGCTAAAAAAACTCCTTAAGTTATCATTTGTTGGGGATGCCCAGCTGCGTAATATTGTTGTGTCAAGCACTAGAAGTCGAATAACAAGCAAAACTGGGTTAGCTAAGTGCGTAGCGAAGGGTCGTGTAAATATGGACTTAAAAACTCCACATCACTCACTTTGCTCGATTGAAGTGTTTATTTCGATCTCGGGGCGTGTATTAGAGATGCTGTGGCTAGTTCCTAGAACCACACTCAAAGCTTTTACGGCCCTTTGCGCTTCCTTTGACAAATCGCTTGATTTGAGCCATATGTTGTTTGATCTCTGGAGGGCCGCCCAGATAGTTTCGGTTTGTAACACATCGCTACCATTATTCTCCACGCCACGAGTCTGCTGCACATAAAAGCAGAGAATGCTGGTTGCTAGGAGAAAGTCATGATTGATTAGTGACGACACCCTCCACCGTTCCTGGTACAGCCGACAGAACGGCCGCGTCTCTTCGTGTAGTATATGCTGATACTCGAGCAGCTTTAGGGCGGCATTTAAGCATGCTTGCTGTGATTGGCTATGCTGCATTCTCGTGGGTGAGCAGTACGAGTATTTCCTATGTAGTATAATTCTTGCTCTGTGAAGTATGATGTCTAGGGATAATTTTTGCATAATGACCTGCGGTGTGTCCAAGATACACTGTGCCATGGAGTGCCACTTTAGGCACTCGGGGATAGCTTCGTGTGCATCATGTAGCCTTTTGTCCATTTTCATCACTTCTGCATAGGTATATGATCGGGTATCAGCTGCAAAATCCCATATATACCCGACTGTTGACATCACCCTAGATTTCACTAGGCGGTACAACATGGGAGTGAGATCTGTTTCCGGTCGTGATGGCGGCATATCGATGATAGCTTGGTTGAAGTCGCTGTCGAGTAAATTTGAAGGTTCACTTGTATCAGCTTGCCACGGATTAATTAGCCGTGGGAGCCCCATCTGTATGGAAATTCCGAGGTCAAGTTCAATAATGGTTGCCCAGACACGTTTCCGCATTTCGCCAATGAATGGAGATATTCTCTCGTCGAAGTGTTTTGGATCTCTATGGTATCCCATATGCATCGCAAGTTGAACTATGGTACCTAAAAGTATCCAAACGCCGATTTCAGTATCGGTATGAATAAAGAGTTCGACAGTAAAGTATAATATGAGGGTCTCCAGAACATAGGGGCCACCTTGGGTATAATTGCCCAAGATGAGACAATTAACAATATTTTGTCGGAAACTCTCCATAGATTTTTGGAGGTCTTGCTCTATCAATAGGCTTTCAGCGTTCTGGACGTTGGAGTCCAGCCTGAACCTTTGGAAGAGCGTAGCAAGACACATGATTGTGAAAAGCAGACCAAGCCAAATAATCGGTGCTGCAGATGGGTCCTCCCAGAATTTTTCGTACTGGGAAAATGTTAGAGGTAAGCTTATCAATAAAACAGGCAGCAGTGATAGTACCTCCTCCAAGAACTGGAAGCTATGAAGAGTAGCTATATTGCAACGGTGACTTTAGTATTGAACTCGGTCTTAAGTTTTCGGGGTCACTCACCAGGAGACATCTCAAAGAAATTAAAATAATGAGAAACCAACCGATCAACAGTAGAGCGAGGAGGTATCAATGATAAGATTTCTTCCCTACTCATGGGTTTAATAGAGCTATGTAACAATAGCGGGCCTGTCCAACCCGAAACGTTATGGACGGTGGGCTGAGGACCAACTTGGGCTTCTTCTTCCCTTTCGAAGTGGTCTTTGATATCCGAAATTTCATTGAGGATAGCGGCCCAGTGGGTACTGTTGACGTAGCTCGTACCTGAGGCGGTCAATCTTATACTGCCGTAGTCAGAAGCTGGTGATGCGGTGTTGGCGATATCTACACCTGAGCTAAACGGATTCGAGTCATCCGCAGTGTGTGGCGAGTTTTCCCGTTCCTGGACATCAGAGGTTTTCTGCATCAGGTCAACAACCAAAGTTTCCAGATGTTTCAGCCTATCTTGCATGGTGGAAACACGCGGTTGTGCGCCGTCTCCAGGCTGCAGCGTGTTCGAGGCATATGAGCAAGAAGAGCCTAGGGACCGCTGGGTGCAGGTTCCACAAGGCTGCTGTCTGTCGCATCGAAGTCTAATAATAGTTATAATTATGCTTTCTAAAACAGTAGTCTGTCAATATGCTCACTTCATCCGCCTACACAGAGTGCAAGACAGCAGTGGCCGTTCTCGACGCCTGCTCGAAAGCAATCGTGCTCTACCCCGTGGTGTTTTGCCAGCTCCCACTTCCGGAAGCTGAGATCCACCTGGGTCAGACATTGTTGATAATAGCCTCCTTGGGGCAGATAGCTAGTTATCTTGTAGCTTGTACGGTTGGTATAAATGGGTATGTGGTAGTAAATTGACAAAGTCGTTGAAATTAGAAACTCCCTTGACTCTGGTTAACTAGCAAGTTAAATTTAAGGTGTCAACCTTAACTCCGGTAACTAGCTCTTATTAAGTTAGCGAGCAAGTTAACTTGCCTGATTACTAACTAAATATAGTTAGTCATGTAACTACCGAGTTCTTTTTTTTAAGGGGTGAACTTTCTCACTAAAGTCCGATCCGATGGGCCGGTGAGCCGATGCTCCAGCGAGTTAGTGAACGTTGGTGTTGGTGGGAGAAAAAAGGCTCGGTTGTTCTCTAGTAGTTTTATAAGTAGTTTAGGGAATAACTAGAAGAACCAACGAAATACTTGTTATTTTCTATAACTAGTTATGCGGCTGAACTTAAGACCTGCCACATTTTCGGTTTATGAAGTCATTTTAGCTATTGGTCGTTTTTCGTCTTGTCGACATTTGAGTTGGTTGCTTAACCCCCATGCTTTCTTCCTTCCGCGCTCCCCTGATCGGACATGTTGTATGGCGGACAATGTTCTTTGACAAGCGCTGATTCCATGGCCCGATCCGATGCCCCGGCCCGATCCCGTCAATGCAGGGCTAACCTTGGTTGGTTATGACGCCTTGAGCTTATTATACTTGCTCCTCCGTCCAGGCTATTGTAGATATACCCAGCTGTTTGTCCAGCGTTGATATTTAACGAGAACTGTTTGACAACAGAAAATACAAGAAGATAAAGTTGCTTCAACGAGATCCAAAATGCACATACCTGCTTCCCCAGTGAACGAGATGGAGTGCGGCGACAACCCACCCTCTTTAGCCTCCGATGTACCAGAGGAGCGACCCAAGAGCCCTGCCAGCGACAGTGATATCCTTGATGATCACATCAACCCCCTTAACTGGTCATCAGTTAAGGTAAACTTTCATATTACTCTCGTCAGTCTTTTTGTACTAAATGCGTAAGTGCCATTCTACTCTTCTGCCAGTCACTGGACAGCGCTAACGCCTACACAGCAACCTAGCCGCAACAATGTTCGCCCCTGGAGCGGCTGAATTGGCGAAAGAATTCCAAATTGTTAATCCCACGATTGAGGTCATGACCGTCAGCCTATATGTTCTCGGATTTGCCCTGGGCCCAATCTTCCTGGCTCCCCTCTCGGAATTATACGGTCGGCTACCGATTTACTACGTATGCAATGTCGTTTATTTTGCATTTATCTTGGGATGTGCTTTTAGCACAGATGTTGCTATGTTCCTTGTTTTTCGGTTCATAGCTGGCTGTGCTGCATCGGGCCCTATGAGTATTGGTTGAGGTACAATAGCGGATATTATACCTCTGGAAAAGCGAGGAAGGGCAATGGCATTGCTCACCATGGGGCCGCTATTGGGACCTGTATGTGGCTTCTCCCAACCTTTTTTATTTATAACTAACAGCTTTTACAGGTCCTTGGGCCTGTGATTGGGGGCTTTGTAACCCAGTATATTGGCTGGCGTTGGACACTGAGGATCATCCTAATATTTGTAAGTAAATACTTTCCAACATTCCTATATACGCCCTCGTCTAATTGATCGTATCACTAGTCCGGAGTGATTGGGGCCGTTACCTTTGCTTTTATGCGGGAAACAAATACCCGTGTTCTTATCCAGCACAAAGCAGCGCTGATGCGTAAACAAGCTGGCAATCCCAATCTTTTGCCTAAGATTAGGAAAGAGACTCCGCTAAAAGTACTCCGCCATGCCATTATCCGCCCACTGAAGATGTTGATCTTCCTTCCAATTGTTTTATTGGTCTCCCTATACACCGGTCTCATGTTTGGAATCGTTTTTTTGCTCTTTACTACCTTTCCGTCGGTGTTTAGTGGAGTCTACGGATGGAATGAAGGCGTCTCTGGCCTTGCATATCTTGGGCTCGGCATTGGTATGATGCTCGGCCTAGTTCTCTTCTCCATCCTTAGCGACAAGCTTCTCAAACAAAAACAGGCTTCAGGAAGCACATCCTCCGACGACATTAAACCTGAGCAGCGGCTTATCTTGCTAAAGTGGTTTGGTCCTATTACTCCACTCGGCTGCTTCATGTATGGGTGGAGTGCCCAGTATCATACCCATTGGATTGTACCGATACTAGGGACTGGTATTATTGGGCTCGGATCTCTGTTTATTGTTATACCAGGGCAGATCTACTTGGTAGATTGCTTTGGGGCAGAAGCAGCTGCGTCTGCATTAGCTGCTAACCTGCTTGTACGCTCTCCTTTCGGTGCCTTTCTTGTCCTAGCTGCACCACCAATGTACAAGAACCTGGGCTTGGGCTGGGGGAATAGTGTGCTGGGGTTCATTACCCTTGCCTTTACACCAGTTCCATGGCTCCTCTATCGCTATGGCGAGGCCTTGAGACGCCGGTTCAAGGTTAACTTATGATTCCCGTTGCAGGAGTTAGTGGGTAACCAAACCTTAGCCCTGTCGAAAGGAGAACCTAAATCTATAGATGCTAGTTGGTAATTCTGGGTTGTAGACTATAGCTTTATACATGATCATTTAATTAATAACATCATTCAATTTGCCCAGGTGCCACAAAATTTAAGGAAGCGCAGCGCCATTTCTCTTGGTGATGGTGGTTAACATTGTTAATACTTATGTATTGGTGGTTACCTCTCTACCATGACTGATATCAGCCAAACGGTCAAGATAGCTTTCACCCAAGCTAAAACTCTTAACCGAGCCTTGGAGGTGACCCTACTGTAGATAAGAAGATTACTGTTCAGATGGCAGACTCGACCGCGGGGAATATTAGTCTAAGGCCGAGTCAATAAATGAAATGGAAAGGGGGAAAATAAAGCAACCAATGCACTAACTATTTTTCCATACATGAAATAAAATGACACTTATGAGTTAAAGAAGATACACCGTTTTTCAACGCCTGGAAACCAGCATCCCGTCTGCACGACCAAGCAACAAATCCTGTGCTGCAATGAAGAATCCAAACCCAGCCAATTTAGCTTTCCCAAACCACTCTAGAATTGGCATGCTGGGTAGACTGTATAGATGATGGTCCTTCTGTATGTGCGATTTAAAGTCTTCGACAAAAATCCTTAACGTTGCTTCGTGCTCGATAATTTGCACAAAATTGTTGTTATCAGCATGATGTGAAGGGGCCGTTGTGCTCAAGATGACGGCTTGGTGAATTGCAAATACAATTCTATCAACTGGTAAGATATCAACTGAGCCTCTGACGCTTTCAAAAGAGGGCCGTGTACCAAGTTTGCGGGAAATTTCTGTTAGTTGTTGGAGTACTGTAGATTTGAATGCTTCGTTATCAAGAGTGGGCTCTCCCGGTACGCCAACTGGTCGGTGAATATAGACAGGGAGTTCCAAGGCAGGGGCAGCCCGCTGAAGAAAAGCTTCAGCAGCCCATTTTGTAGACACATAACCGTCACTACCGTCGCGCGGTGGTTGAGTATTAGTGTTAGTATACAATGCAACGCCACCAGATGACATGACATGCAAAGGAATCGAGCGTCTCGCTGCCAACCGCACCATTCCTTTAACAGAGTCAAAGTTGTCTGGTCGAAGCACCTCATACCTGTCCCAGAATGACCTGTTCGCAGCGCAATGAAAGATTATGTCTAATTTTTCCGCAAGGGCACTGTATTCGTCATCTGAAATGCCCAGCCCCGGTTTTGATACGTCGGCTTGAATAAGTCTCACTTTGCTGCTTCCTTGATCGATGTCGGGTATTTCGTTATCTATGTGGCGAACAAGTGACACAATCTCAGTAATCTTTGGATCATTCGCAAGGACCGACAATAGGTGACGCCCTAAGTATCCCGTGGCTCCAGTCAATAGAATGGTGAATGTACTGTTTCTGGGCTCCCATTTCGATACCTCAGTTTTTGCTTTTTGAAAAGGCTCTGGAAGTTGTGTCTCAATCTTCCAGTCAATCAGCCCGCCTGGGCAGCTGTTTTCAATAACCGTTGCCATGGCACCAAGGGTAGTGGCTGCCATCAAAGTCACAAGTTTTGGCGAAGCTAGGAACTCCTCCCGTATTAACGCCTGCAATTTCACGAGGAGAATTGAGTCACCTCCAACTTGGAAAAAATCCGATTCCGCGTCAAGTGGTCCAGGATTAACTGGAATAATTTCACGCCAAAGACCGCTTAACTTTTGTTCCACATCTCGAAGATTTTCCGAATGCCCTATGTTCTCCTGAAGGCTGGGTAGAGGCATTATCTGGATGGCCTTTCTGTCAATTTTATGATGGGACGTTCTTGGAATATCATCTAGTATAGTAATAATAGAAGGTTGCATATACTGAGGCAGAGGAAGGCTATGGCGAAGATATTTGATCATCTCAGCTCGTCCATCTTCTGAGTACTCAGCCGAGAACACAACATGTGCTGCTAGGAAGCGGCTTTCACCAGAACCTCGTAGAGTAACGACAGCATGAGAAAGGGCACCACCGGAATGTCGTATCAGGGCAGTTTCGATTTCCATCAGCTCTATGCGAAAGCCACGCAACTTTATCTGAGTGTCGCCCTCAAGTCGACCGTCACAAAACAAGGTCCCATCTACAAGGAGACGACCACGATCGCCCGTGCGATAGACTTTGCTAGAGGTCTCAAAGTAATCGTCGGAAACAAACTTTTGCTTTGTTGAACCTTCATTATCAAGGTAGCCGGAAATAACACAGGGGCCACCGATGACGATTTCTCCAGGCACGCCGAGCGGTACTGGTCTCGCATTGGAATCAGTTATGCAAACTGAGAAGCCGGGTAGCATGAAGCCTGCAGGCAATGGATCCTGGAGGTGTAAGCCTGTGTATTCCAACTCGCCCTTGGTCGAGTATATTGTTGTCTCGGCAGGCCCATAGCCGTTATAAAGGCGAAGGCCAGATAGACTTAAAGCTGCAAACCCGCGAGCAAGACTGACACTCATGGCCTCGCCGCCTGAGAAGGCGTATCTCCAGGAGGTACAATGTTTCAGAAGTTCCGAGCCATACCGTAACCACATATCATACTCGGAAGGCGTGGCAGTCGTGTTGGTTACACCCTCGTCCAGCATTATTTGGCTAATCCCAATAGGGTCACCCCTACTACGATCAGGTACAACGTACAGACATCCTCCATTTGCCAAAGCAGAGAAAATTTGATCAAGAGAGCAATCAAAGCTAAAAGGGCTCTGCTGCAAGACAACAAAGGTATCATTGGCTGCTGCAAAAATGCGGCTTGAAGCTTCGATAGATGCTACAATATTCGCATGTGTTATGAGAAGGCCTTTTGGTTCCCCAGTAGACCCGCTCGTGAACAGGATCATTGCTTGCGCGTTAGGTTCGGCCTCATTTGCCTGGTGTTTAGTTCCATGGTGTCCCAAGCTAGAAACTCGCACTTCACTAACATTACCGGCATCAATAAGCTGGACCTTTGATGTTGTGGTATTGTCCGTAAGAATCAGGATGGGCCGGGCAGCTCTGGTAATAGCTGCAAGACGAGGAATGGAGTTTCGTAAGTCAAGTGGCACGTACACAGCGCCGACCTTGAAAATGGCCAGCATAGAACAGATCCAATCCGTGGATGGCTCCTGGAATACACCAACTATGCTCCCTTTTTTCATTTTAAAGACTTGAAGAGCATTGCATATTGTATCGACACGGGCACTCATTTGTTCGTAGTTTAGGGTGTTTCCATTTCCATCCTTTAAAGCCACCCTGGAGCCGTGGAGTCTGATCATGCTCTCAATACGGTGGACAATCGTTTGTGGCCACTTTGCTTGGAAAACAGGTGCTTGAAAAATACATCAAATATAAGCATCCTATCTTTTATTATAGCATATTGGGGTGGATATAATTAACTAGTTACCTTTGCCTGCTTCCAGGGCTGCCTGGGTATCATGCGGAGACCAGGCCGGGATGTCGTCAACATCTTTATCGCCTGCGTCAACCATGAACTCAAGTGCATTGGTATAGGAGCGGAGCAATAACTGAGTGTTTTCATCGCTGTATAAGGCATCCTGAAGCCGTAGTGTGAGCGAGGTTTCGCCGTTTACCTTCTCTGTGATCTCTAGGGCTATATCGTATCCCGTGCTCGCGCTGCACCAATTCTCACCATCGATCTTACAACCACACCAGGTGGATCGGTCCTGTACAACCTGCCTGTAATCCATGAACACCTGGAATATGGGTGTATACGCGTTTGATCGTGGCACGTTGAGCTCTCTTAGAAGAACATCAAACGGCAGCTGCGAGTATTGTAAAGCAGAATAAGTCACACTACGTGCTGACTGGATGGCTGAGGAAATTAAAGTGCCGGGTCTATCGCGGTGGAAGTGAAGCGGAAGCAGATTCAGAAAAAGCCCAACGCTGCTCATGAAGTTTTTATCCAGGCGGCCGGCATCTGCAATTCCAATGAATATGTCGTCGGTGGTTGGAAGAAGTCGGAATAAAAGAGCTTGCAGTGCGCCTAGATAGACATGAAAAGTTGTGGCATTGCTTTGGCGTGCAAACCGCCGTAATTTAGCCGCAAGGGTAGCTCCAATACTGATAGTCGCTTCGTGTTGAGTGTAATTGCTCACAGCCTGCCTTGTTTTTGATTTGGCAAAGGGGAGTAACTCAATGGGCTTTAGATCAATAGCAAATGTTTTACGATAATGCGCAATTGCCTTGTTGAATGCTCCAGTTTCGTATAGCTGCCTTTGTTTCGCTGCGAAATGACGATACTGGGACTCCGGAGCAACAGGGGCTAAGGTCTCCGAGCGATAAGCAGCTTCAAGGTCCTTGAAGAAAACACTGAAACTGTAGCCATCCATGAAGATATGATGCATTCCAACTATTAAGAAATGCACTTGATCTGATAAAGTGAGCAATGATATCCTTATCACGTCACCACTGGTTAGGTCCCATGTCTCGTTATGGGTATTTTGCAGTTCCGCATTCGCGTCTGATTCCGAGGAAATGGGCTTTGTGGTCAATCTCATTGCTGAAGTTGTCTCGATTACTTGCATAGGCATTCTTCCATCGCCTTCACCAGACCAAGAAAATCTAGTTCGGAGAATTTCATGGCGATTTCCAATTGCGTGTACGGCCGCCTCAAGAGATTTGACAGAAATGGGCCCTGTAAGTTTTAACATTACAGCCATGTTGGACGCTTTCTTGTTAGCGAGGTACTCGCTTAAGAACCAGAACCCGGCTTGCCCAAATGACATATCGCATACCACTTGATTTGCAGGTGGCCCGGGTGGGTTGAAACTTGCTCCAAGACCATTATCCTTAGACTTCAGGGGCTTCTGTTGTGTTAATGGAATAGAATCAGGGGAAATATCCCAAGGTTTCATTGGTGTACCCGGGCTGCTTTTTTCAGGCGTGGTCGAGGTGTACGGCGTAGCGATTTGCCTCTCGCCAGTGGTCGAACTTGGTGTGGAAGTGTAGCTCGTGCAATCCTTCTCCAGACTATTATAATCCGTAGAAAGGGTGGACGTCATCGCCGGTCGATCGGAGCCTTCGCCAGCTTCAACGGCTAATAAAGATGCAATGGGAGCTGGTAATGAATCGATTGCTTCTTCTAGCAGATCAGAAATCGAGCTGCCACCCAGGATTTTGAGAACAGGGATATCCACTTCCAACTCTTTGATGAACCAAGAACGTATCTCAACAGCCATTAGAGAGTCCACTCCCTGTTCAACAAGAGTTACCTGCTCGTTGATCGTATCGCTCGGAGGAATAGCCAAGATACGTCTTAATTGGGTAATGAATGAATCTACTTCAGTGTCAGTAATAGTCACAGTTCATTGGGTAGAGTCAGCAGTACTTTTGATCACCAAAGCGGCGTCTACCTTAGATTTGAGCTCTGCAAGCTGAACTCTTACAGGTAGAGACAAAGAATTGTCCATCTGTTCACGCTTATTCACACGCTCCATCATAAAATGCCCGAACTTGACATCTTTAAGGTATTGATCCTTAGCCTGGATATCCGTGTAAATTGGCGAAACTCCAGTGGTAAGTTCGCATACTCCTGAAAAATCCGGTCGACCCAAGATAATGGCTTCAGCAAACAATAATTGCAAATCTTGCTCGGAGATAGGTCGATATCCCATCTTAGTAAAGGTATCCTCGCTAAGATCGTCGGATCTTTCCACATAGCCGATTCCTATGACAGAGCTAATGTCGATACATGACGCTGCGACGCCACGCTTCTTCCGCTGTGCTGTGAGAGCAGTCATAAACATGTTTCCCGCTGTATAGTTACTCTGCCCACTGTTGCCCACAACACCCGTCAGTGAGGAGAAACATATGAAAAAGTCGAGCGGTGAATCATAGAAAAGTTCATCCAATAGCTTTGATCCAATGACTTTGGGCCTCAATGCCTGGTTAAAATCTTCGTAGGACATCTTATCGAATAGAGAATCCTTAAGAACCATTGCTCCATTCGCAACGCCCGCTATTGGAGGCATAGACTTCTTAATGCTCTCATAGCATGTATGAAGAGACTCACGGCTAGTTATATCCCTATAGAACCAAATTAGGAGTGTGGTCATGTCCGCAAGAGGAGTGTACTCACATTGGAGAAACCATGACATCCGCCCCCAGCTGCGCCATTTCTTGCATGAAAGACTTACTAACTTTTGGCCGTCGGCTAGTAAGAACAACATATCTCGCTCCATGGGTGACCATCCATCTACAGAGCGACTGGCCAATCTCGCCAGAGAGACCAACTAAGAAATAGGTCATATTATGACGGAAGATATTGCCTTCATCAATTGGGCGAACCACAGTGTCAAGTGAAGAGCCAGAGCAATCCGCAATAGAAAACTGACCCAAGGCTGCAGTTTGGTAGGAAATATCCTGGGTTTGTACTATTGGTAAAGCCATTTTGTCGTCGTCGGACATTTTGATATCTAGAAAAGCTTGCTTCAAGACGTAAGAGACCTCTTCCAAAGAGATCCATGGCTGAAATTCTGTATTGGCCCCAAGATGATATTTACTATCCACAACTTCACTGTAGCGGGGTAGACAATCAACAATGAGGCTCCCAATGCTAGATTCTCCTGTTGCCGAAGAAAAATCTATAAATTTTGTGGCAGAAGAAGGCAACAGCTCCCTGATATGACGTTTTGGGAGGCCTTTATAGATATGATGCCATCCTGGCTGTACTATGCTCTGATTAGAAGTTGTGAAAGTCACTGAGACTGATACGCCAGTCATAATCTCCTTCAAAGCCTTTGCAACTAAAGGATGAGGGTTGTGAATGACAAGGCTCTCTCCCTTGGTTATAAGTTTCATAATGTTGGATGCCACCATACGTGATGCAGCCACTCCGAGTGTCTGGACTGGGTTGGCATTGTCAATAGGAATGGTCCAGGCTGTCGGTATAGTCACTGGCGATTCAGTAATATGTGTAGCAGCCAGGACTTTTTCTTTAGAGGCTGTATCAATTCCCAGGCAGAGCATTAAGTTACACCCTGGAAGTACTCTGACCGTGGAAAGCAAGAACTGTGTGATACGGATATTCCTCGTCTCGGTACAGAAAGGGAGTGGGGTGGGGATATGTAGAGGAGACGCGTACTGTGCCTCCCATGATCCACTATCGGCTGTAAAGATAATTTTAGCTTCTTGCGGGTTAACAGATTCATTTACAGTGCGACGAGAAGCATTATAACGTCTATTTCCTTCTTCATATGGGTATAGCCTTGGAATTAGAATCATGTCGTTTTCAATATAGAACTCCGGTTCCACGGACCAGAGCATATCTCCTGGCCGAAGTTGTTTTGACCATTTTTTAAGAAGTCCAAGGCGAATCAGATTTTCCGCTATAAGTTGTGGGGTATGACGGTTTATGACATCGATGTCCAGCATCTGAAGCGTAATATTAGGGTATTCAAATCTCATGCAACGGCCGAGACCAACAGTCATATAGCAGTGAGGGTTTTCTGCTCTGGCCCCAGTAGTAACCCAGAGAATATTTCCACTCTGACGCCAGAGAATCTTCATAGCATCAAGTTTTGTGGGGGTCATTGCAGTGAACAAGGGCTCATCTAGCTCTGTGAGACACAAGATAGTACTAGATTCGGCCAGTCCCTCACTGTGAAAGGCCTCAATAGACTCCATACGGACAGCTTCAGAGAATCTTGGGGCAAGTATAGAAGAGATTTGCTCGCAAATCCTATGGACACGCAGCGTTTTACCACCAATAATCACAAGTCGCGTAGAGCTACGTGTGGCGGGGAACTTGGAACTGTCCGTAAGCGGCGATCGAAGCATTCCGATCCGGTCATCAAGAGCCTGGGAACAAAATACGTGTCCTGGAAGGAGCTTATGAACCGTGGGGGTCTCTGTATCAATGCCACCAAAACCGGACTTCCGCAACAAAGAGTCCCATTGCGGGAGAGTCAGAGTAGGACCCCAACGCCGTCCGCTGTCAATGCCGAGCCACCATCCAGGCAGACTGCCCATGGGTAGGCCAACCCTGAGCGATTCATTGCTAACCGTCTCGAGGATGATAAGATACCCCCCTGGCTTGAGGAAGTTCCGCACATTGTTCATCATATTTTCCAGATCTTGAGTAGCGTGTAGGACATTGGACGCGATAACAAGATCATAGGACCCTTCAATAAATCCCTGAGAGGCAGGAGTCTTGGTCATGTCAAATGTCTTGAAAATCATCCGATCGGCATAATCTTTGAAGCGATCCTGAGCTGCACCGAAAAATCCGGCGGAGATATCGGTGTAGGTATATGTTGAGAACGCAGAGCCTAAGCGAGGAAGTATCCTTCTAGTCGAACCACCAGTTCCAGCACCTAGATTGTTATTTCGAGATCCAATGCAAAATTCAAATCAATGTCAAGGGGCTCACCTATTTCGAGAATGTTCATTCGCGGGTACCGATGAGTTATCTGGGACACCATGCGGGCAATATACTCGTTCACGATGTTAAGACCAAACCCGTCCTCATAGACGCTATCGAGCATCCCATCCTTCGTCATATGTTCGAGAATGTTAGACCTCTCACGAATAGCTTGTGGAAGATTCTCTCCAACAGATTCTAGGAGGCGGACATCGCTACATTCGTAGTGCCTGGATGACCTATTAGCACCTACTAGATGATATTTGTACGGGTATTCCTACCTTCGCAGAAGGGTGTCAATGTTGGCCTTCGTGTCATATACAGCACTCTGTGGTGTTTGTGAGTTTTCGCCCCTCATGACTTGCGGTACGACGTATTCTGCCCAATCAAGTAAATGTCGGTAATGCGGTAGAGTCTTTGCCTTCTCTTCCACTGTAATAGTATCTATCAGCTGGCGCAGGTAGTAAAAGGCGATCCGGCCACAGTCCAGTGCAACCTCGATATCCTTGGGTTTGTATCCATAGTCTGCTGCTACTAGGTCGCCGTCCGGGAGGGCAGCTTGGTAGTCAAATCTCGAAAATAGTACGATATCATTAGCTGGGACCGCAGGGGAAAGAGGAACAAGCCTCATGTCTTCAATGTGTAGAAACAAGCGACTGCTTGAGTTCGTCAATAAGTTCAGCTCGGTAAAGATGCTCCCATTCGCATACGATTTCGCGAAAGCCTCATACTGCAGTATAGTTGGCATCCCGATACCTAACAACGTGAAATGTGGATTGATAACTATACGTCGGAAATTTGTAGGAACATGCAAGGCCCACATACGCTCGTCACCAGGACAGCAATATGCAGCAAAAGTGGATTGCAGAGCAGTATCTAGCATTCCTGGGTGAACTATAAGTTGGTCCTCCCATTCAGAATTGCTCTGATTTTCAAGTGTGCCTATTGCATAGTCCGCTTTACGTTGTATGCTGTTGATTCCACGGAAAGGTGACGAGTAATTATACCCGAGTCGGTTAAGAGACTCATAGAATCTGTCAACTGCGACGTCTCTGATATCATCGCGGTTCACTTCAATTTTTGGGAGCCTGTCAAAGCTTTGATTTTCAAGCAAGACTTTTGCTTTACCATTGGCATTGAGAGCCATTGCTGACCCATTATCACGAGGTCCACCGGAATGACAGGAGAACTGGGTATATATTTCATCACTTGTTTGGCTGAGAATATTGACGCCGAATACAATTTCGACACTTGCGCCATCATCATTAAATGCCATTGCTCGGCTGATATCGAAGTCCTCTATTGTGATAAGGCCAATACTCGAGCCGCGGGCCAGGATGGCTATCGCTTCCACTGCCATTGCAATATAGCCGGTGGCAGGGAAGACTATCTGACCTTGGATTTTATGGCCAGCCAGCCACGAAATTTCCTTTGGATGTAAGATATTGCGCCACTGGATACTCTGAGAAGTTTCACGATCCTGGCATCGCCTACCCAACAAAGGATGGGGTGGATCTTGAAGGCTGTTGTATAAACCGGACAATCGAGAGAGCGACATAAAGCGCCTACGGTCAAATGGGTATTGGGGTAGGTTGCGGAGGAACCGTCGAGGATCTGGCGATGGCGACATGGCTCGGTTGAATGCGTCGAAAGAAACGGTGCCAGCTCCAAGGTAAGACCAAATAGACCCAAACGCGCTGGACAACACATGTATGTCGTCTTTTGTTCGACTAAGAAGGCCCACATACGGCAGACGCTCTCCAGTTACCTCCTCCAAAGTATCAAGGCAAGGGGATTTAAGCGCAGGGTGTGGACCAATTTCAACAACTAAGTCGAAGGGCCCGCTACTTGCTGCAGCTTGCACCAGTGCTGGGTAAAAAAGGACAGGACTGATCATGTTATCAACCCAGTACTGTGAATCGATGTCACCTATGGCCATAACCTTCCCTTCTCGCACACTAGAATACCAATTGGGTCCAGACGGACTTGTATAATGGACTCCACATTCATCCATGGCTGTAAGATATGCACCTGAGCATGGCAAAATGTGGGAGGAATGATAAGCAGTGTCCACATTAAGTCGTCGTGCAAATTTATCCTCGTCTTTGAAGACGTTGATGGCCTCGATAATGGCATCTTCATCACCAGACAGAGTAATGCTTAGCGGTGAGTTTCGGGCAGCTACCTGGATTCTGCCTTTAAAGGAATCGAGTTCACAAAGTTCAGATGCATCCGTAAAGGTTGTCCCAGCAGCCATCACTAAAATGCGTCAGAAAAAACAGACTTTGTTAGCCGCTTAAGTTCGAACATGCACCAATCAGTGAAGGCACTAGAGCATCACGTCGGAGATGAATAACCTCTAGGGTTCCACTAAAAGTGAGTTTAAGCAGTGGGTTCGTTGCTACTTACTAGCGCCCTTGCCGCCATTTGGCGATTTCGCAAGTTTTGTATAAACACCCCTGTAATAGGCGATCCTAATAGCGTCGTGTGCTGTGAGGAATCCGGCAGCATACGCAGCTCCAATCTCGCCTATTGTCACTTAGTGAATAACTGGAAAAACGAATGGGTTTGGGCGGAGGGTTTATTCATCGCTTTATTTATACGTACCAGAGGAGTGACCAACTACCGCGTGTAGAGTAATGCCTGCTAGTCGAAGTAGGTCGACAAGAACAATCTGAACCGCGGTGCAAAGAGGCTGGGAGATCTCCGCCTCAGATACTCTTGATGAGTTTATATCCGCAAGCACCATTTCTTGCAAAGTCCAAGCGGGGCGTACGTCGGGAGGTAGCTCTGACAGCGCTTGATCAAGCTCGGCAAACCGCCTGGCCACGTAGGAAGAGCCCTCTAGCAATCTTGCGCCCATTCGTGGCCACTGTGCGCCTTGACCGGTGAATACACCCAAGATCTTCGGGGATGTCTTGGAAGAGTGTCGTACACCCATAGAGCTCTCCTTTTCACCACTCACTATCGCATCTATCTGAGAGCGAGCATCTTCCGTCGTTAAGGCGGCGATTGCTACCCTGTATGGTAAGGTAGAGCGCCGTGACTGCAGAGAATAAGCAAGATCATGCAAGGATTCCTGCTGGTTAGATCTCAGATACTTATCGTAACTTGACAATAGGGAACGTAGGGACACTTCGGATGAGGCAGAGAACGTTAAAGGGGTAAACAAAGGGCCTTCCACAGCTAAAGTTGGTTTTGGTTCGTAGGCTTCGAGAATTGCATGAGCATTGGTGCCACCAAAACCTATCATATAGTTAGCGACCGAAGCTAGCTTCTTCACTAGAAGTTCAGTTAGATTCATGACCGGACTTACCAAAACTATTTATGCTTGCTCGACGAGGCTGGTCTGCGTGTGTTCGGGGCCAAGTCTGAGCGCAAGTGGGGACCTTTAAGTTATGGTAGAATGGTGCAAGCTGGGGGTTCAAGGTATCAAAATGCATGTTGGGGGGGATAATTCCGTTCTGAAGGGCCAGAGAAGTACTAATCAAACTAGCGAGTCCCGCAGTCCCTTCGGTATGACCGACCACAGTTTTTATTGAGCCAACGAACAGTGTATCGTTGCAGGTATCAGTTGCATAGAATGCGCGAAAAATTGCTTCAGCTTCCTTAGGGTCACCAGCCGGAGTTCCCGTACCATGTGCATGAAAAAACTGGGGTCGATCTTCTGGTTTGTTGATATCGAGTCCAGCACGAGCATAGGTGCTTTGAATAAGGGCTGCTTGAGCAGTTGCACTTGGCATGGTTAACCCCGGGGTTCGTCCATCCTGGTTTACACCAGTCCCACGAATAATACACTCAATATGGTCATTGTCTCGGATTGCAGCACTAAGAGGCTTCAGGACGACAGATGCAATACCCTCTCCACGTGCGTACCCGTCAACATCCTTATCCCACATCCTGGATCTTCCGGAGGCAGAGAGCATTGACAGCTTACTCTCCGCAACATACATCCCTATACGTTATATATATATTAGTTACCGCCTTGTAAAAACCAAAAAAAGTGCGTGCAGAATAGAGTAGTGACTGATATACGTACCTGGAGTAAGAATTAGGTTTGCTCCTGCAGCAATGGCAACATCCGACTCGCCGCTACGCAGAGTTTGGATAGCCAGGTGAACAGCAACAAGGCTAGAGGAGCACGCAGTATCGATAGTCATACACGGCCCATGCCAATCAAAAAAGTATGAAACCCGGTTTGAGATAATACTGCGGGAGATACCTGTGGCTCCATACTTTGGAAATACCTCCAGATCTTTTGTAACTATAGTGCTCCAATCGTCGCACATCACGCCGACGTATACAGCAGTAGACGACCCTCGAAGCCCTTCAATCGTCTGTCCAGCGGTACATAGAGAATCGTACACTGTCTCCATAAGCATCCTCTGTTGGGGGTCGATTGCCTCAGCTTCACTAGCGGGGATATTAAAGAATCCATTGTCAAACAAAGTAGGGTTCTCATTCAGGAAGTATGACTGGCGCACGTTCGTTGTCCCGTGATGATTGGGGTCTGGGTGGTAAAAGGCATCAGCATTATACCGGTCTGGCGGGACCTGGCGAAGGAGATCTCGCGGGGATTTGAGAAGCTCCCAAAGCTTTGACGGTGTATCACAATCGCCAGGGAAACGACAGGCACTTCCAATGATTGCTATAGGCTCCACTGCTGCCATCCTAAGAAAGTGATCGCCGTCCTGATATATAATATGTAAGGTAAGTTTAGATTGATGTATTCCAAGTAATACAGCATTTGTCGAAAAGTAGTTGGGCGGCCCCTAATTATGTTATAGAATAGTGTACCTGTAAGGCATTCCGATAAGACATGGGGGGAAAGGGTAAAGGGTCGGCTTATTAGCAAGGATGACTATTGAACCCATGTCTTCTAAATTAATTGATCCGACTATTTGCGAGTGCAAAATCAGTTCATGGAACTGCTGTGGCACGCTATTCGATATCCGCAGAATATCGGGCACGGAACACACATATGAAGGTAGCATGCAGAAGGAGGAGAGGGGGTGCAAGGTATCATCGGACAATTTCGGATATTCCGATCCAGGCTAGCAAGACACTGTGGTAGCAAAGGGAGGCACCATATCTGTTGCAAGGCAAAAGGATGTGTAGAAAAGGCTTTCTCCCATAGCCAGCCTGTGCCTTCAATGTAAAGTAATCGCCTGAAACCGGCGACATCCAACTCTTGCACGGTAACAATCTGGCCACTCACTCCAAACTACTAAAGAAAAAGAACACAATTATCCAGAGGCAATAATGGCGGATTTGCTCACATCTTATTTCCATATTGGGGGGAATTCAATCGTCCCCGGCCCAGTCCAGGCTTCTGAATATGTGACTGGATCGAGCAACGTTTTCCCAAAGTATGCGGATGCCATCACAGAGACAGCCTGGGAGCTGTGGCACTTTGACGGAGTCTCTGAGGACGGTCGAGCCGCAGTCGTTGTATCAATCACTAGGAACGCGGAGGGCCGTAACAAAGGCGGGTTCAAAGTCCAGGTCATTGCAAAGTGGCCAGACAACAGTACCTGGCATCGAGACCTGTACTTCCCAGAGTCCGTTGTAACGGCGGCTGGCGGTGAGGATGGAAACATCCTAGGTGTCTGGAAAGACTCGTCGAGTAACGGCAGCATATCTTTCAATGTCTCTGCCGGCGCTCTACAGGCCGAGTTGTCCTTCGACGTTCCGGACATCGTAAATGGCCGTATGAACCTAACCACCTTGGCCGGAGATCAGGGCCTCGATACCTGTCCACGCCTGGGGCCCGCGGTACATTACGTGCGGCCCATTGGAAGAGCATCAGCAACGGCGGATATGACGTTCAGCGATGCAGAAGACAAAAGTCCTCGACGACTGCTGCTCGGGCTGGACGGTGTGAAAGCCCACGGTGGGATGGACCATGTCTGGTCGCATTCAGCGTGGCCGCAGGTCATGTCGGAGTCGTACTACCTGCGCGCCCAGGTCGGCCCGTACGCGATGCAGGTGATGCGCATATTCTCGACCGTCCAGAGCGGCAAGACGCCATACACCACGGCAAGGCTCTATCGTGACGGGGGACTGGTCTGCGCAGCTCAGAACATTGTCGCTGCCGACGAGAGCGAGATCACGGAGGATTCGCTTGCTATCAACAAGGTGGATGGTCCCAACAGCGATCCAAAGGCCTCGGGGGTGGCGGGTGCGTTTCGCGACAAAAACAACGGCTACATCGTGGAGTTTGCCAAAGCAAACACTGATGGGCGGCGGTGGAAGTTCCAGGTGCTCCATGAGAGCGTCCTGTGGAATATACCGACCAGTGGCCCTGGGCCTGCGGCCACGGGAAATACTGGATTCATTGAATCGGTCTTGGGCGGTATGGACAGGGAATCGTACAGGGGCGTCGGGACCGGCGGCCAGTGTGAATTGCAATCACCGCTCGTTAGTTAAATGGTTAACTAGTTAATTGCCTTGTAAATAGCTACCTAGGTGCAGAGAAGTTGATACAGGATTGGTTACAGAGTGCTATATGAAATAGTTGCTAGCTATTATTAGCCAAAGAAACGTGCAGCAGAGATGGACAAGATGCGTTTCGTCTCGAGGGAAGAGTTTGGGTAACTACCTAGTTATTTAGTTAGAGCAGCAGTATTGCTTTTCGGCCTTCAACCCTGGCAGGTCTACAAATATTTGACATAGCCCCAGGTTAAACGACCCTCCAGTGCTGTCGCGCCCCTTGGACCCGTCCACTTGTCCAATGCAGGCCCGCATTAATCCTGCAGCCATGGCATGCAGGGCGCTGACCAGCCACCACAGCTTTTACTCGGGGAGAAAAGTTCGGAAAAATCCAGAGATGGGAGGACAATATGTCAATGGTTTCTGTGCGGGCGCCCCTATATCCCTCCTCTAGCACTCCGTAAAGTTGGCATGAGATTGAGTTGCTGGAGGACAATCCATATAGTCAATTAACTAACGAACTAGTGCACGGTTTTGGGGGGTTCGGTAATCAGTCAACTACATAGCTAACAGCCATGCTGGATGTGAAATACCACCTCACTGTTCTGTATACCCCTCGAGTGGGAGATATTGTGGCAGAGTAAGAGAACCCATTATACTCATCTATATGAACATGGTTGTAAGCCATAATAACCTGCCGATAGTATCGTCTTTGTTCACGGTATCCAGGGCCATCCAGGGAGGACGTGGACAGCACAACGACCTAAAGACCCAAGTTTCAGGGGCAGGAGGTGGAAGCAATCGATTCTGAAGCGGTTTTCCGTAAAAGGTTCACAGCGCCAGTCAACACCGGAAGACAGCCCGCGAGAGAGATCCAAAACGGATGTCTTTTGGCCCTTGGATTTGCTGCCGGCGGACTGTGCTGACTGTCGAATCCTGACGTTTGGGTATAACTCGATAGTATCAAAATTCTTTGCTAGCGCAAATCTGAATGGTATTGTTGAGCATGCCAGAAACTTCCTACATGCGCTTGTACACAGTAGGGACGAGTGTGTGAGTGTTTCAATCTCCGTGTGAGCTCGTGAATCACTACCTACATACGTTGGTAGTTGGCTGGTTGGTTAGTTAGTTAGCAAGTTGCTGGACTGTTAGTTGACTAACCAGTTCGCCGACTAACTAGCTAACTAGGTAGTCTAACTACCTAGGCAGTAACCAAATAACCGAAGTTGAAAAGCAGTTGGCTAACCGACTATTTCTTGCTTCTCTCCAGCGAGGTCGATATATAGTCTTCGTCGCCCACTCGTTCGGTGGTAAGTGATTCCTTTCAACCAAAGCTTGTCAATCAGTTATATTGATCAAATCGCAGACAGCTAACCAAAATCCTGTCTTGGCAAAGGCCTTCTTGTGAAGCAGGTAGCTAGTTATATTATACCCCTGATTATTACAGTATCCTCAATGGCTTGAAAGAACAAAAATCTGATTCCTATAGGTTCTTCACCTCGTCCCGGAATTCAAAGATGCGGAGATACTTGACATTAGAGCTTCAACCAAGGCGATCATCTTCCTTGGGACGCCCCATCGAGGAAGCAACTTAGCAAAATTCGGGGAAGCTTTGAGAAAAATCGCTTCGTTCACTGGGTTCGGCACGAACCCTCGGATTATACGCCTTTTACATTGGGACAACCCTGACCTCAAGGCATCTCATAATGACTTTATGCAACAATGGAATCAAGATAAATTCCTTGTTCGGACCTTTCAAGAGGGTCTCCCTTTTGAGCCATTGAACGGAATCCTCGGAAAGGTACACTCTTTATTTTATGATGCCTAGCCCAAATACTGGTTAACTAATCAGGTGTTGTAGGTAGTGCCAGACGAATCTTCGCTATTGGGGGACCCAAGGGAGAATGCCCGATATATTAATGCTAATCACCGCGATATGTGTCGTTTTACTGGTAGAGATGACCCTGGGTATCGCCTTCTAGTAGGGGAGATTCGACAGGTTATAAGAAAACTCCGCATTGAACACCAGAAACAGAAATTATTACGGGGTCCAATTTATTTCCCGTTCATATCTCCAACTCCAAGATGGAGAACCAGAAGAACCCTCCGAAGATAGCGGTATATGTTCCAAGTTTTTTCTTAATCTAAGTGTTATTATAGTGTGCAATATTATCTTCCCATTTTTTACTTTAGGTGTCTCCAAAGCCAGCTCGCGGGAATATGAATAACTGTTTAAGATATCGAGACTACTTGCACATGAGATTTGATATGCAAGGATAATGCTCGTCAAGTTAATATGATTCTAGACGGATCCATTTCTACTCCACGTAGAAAGGAAAGTTGGAGCTGGGAAGCGGGAAATCTATAAGGGTTGCTATGTCCAGACTATGAAATATATTGCGCATTCAGCTCGTTCAATACCCATTGCGAAAAACTTACAAAAAGAGCTATATTTGCCTGACATTTGGTGATCATAGCAAAGTAATGCGTATTATGCTTTGTGTAGTAGCTACCTATTTTAACAGAAATTTTTAGCTAATCATATCGCTGTTGACTCTTAGTAGCTGATTACCTTGATTCAGCAAACATTAGGTAGTTGTGTACTTATTTACAGCAGCCATGCTAACTTGTTTACCAGGATGTACAATCCACAAGTATTACCTTTCCTCATGTTCATTCTCGTCTTCATCTTCCTCACCCTCCTCATCGCCCTCGTCATCATCGTCGTCATCATCATCCTCATCTTCACTGTAGTCTTCATCATCATCACTACCTTGAATGTTGTCGTCATCATTATCAAGTTTCAGTCCGTAATCATCCTCAAAATCTCGCAGAGTCCGTAGTTTTGGTTGGAAACCTGAAGATTCAAGTGGG